AGACCAGCTTGGCCAACGTGGTGAAACCTTGACTCTACTAAAATACAAAAATTAGCCAGGCGTGGTGGCACATACCTGTAATCTCAGCTACTCAGGAGGCTGAGGCATGAGAATTGCTAGAACCTGGGAGGCGGAGGTTGTATGAGCTGAGATTGTGCCACTGCACTCCAGCCTGGGCAGCAGAGTAAGACTCAGTCTCAAATTAATAAATAAATAAACAAATAAATAAATTTGTTAGGGATAAAAAGCTTGAAAGTAGAAAAAAAAGCATTAATAAATTCAACTTGTCCATGATGGGGTAACCTATCTCCCTTAGAGCCTTTTCTATCTCATGGGCCAATGTTGATTCTACCATGTATACTGTGGTGATTTTGTATTAAAGGACTGAGTGCAGTTAGGATACATGTTTTGTACCCGGAATTTGTGAGTTCCCCATACTGGGGTTAGATGGGTGATCATCACAGCTAGGTGTAGTTAGTTGGAGAATGCCAGAAGGCCTCCCAAAGCCTTCCTTGTCTCAGCATGGGGCTGTTCCCAGGAGAATTTGGACATATCATGGGTTGTCTACTGCTTTCATGTTATAAGAAACCCATTTGGGCTGGGCATGCTGACCCATGCCTGTAATCTCAACACTTTGGGAGGCCAAGCCAGGAGGACTGTCACTTGAACCCAGGAGTTCAAGACCAGCCTGAGCAACATACTGAGACTCTGTCTCTACAAAAACTTGAAAAAAAATTAGCTGGGCATGCTGACATGTGCCTGTCTGTAGTCCCAGCTACTCAGGAGGCTGAGGTGGGAGAATCACTTGGGCCTGGGAGATCGAGGTTGCAGTGAGCTGTGATTGCACCACTGCCCTCCAGCCTGGGTGACAGAGCAAGCCCTTGTCTAAAAAAATTTTTAAAAACACATTTTTTGGCCGGGCGTGGTGGCTCACGCCTGTAATCCAAGCACTTTGGAGGCCAAGGCAGGTGGATTACCTGAGGTCGGGAGTTCAAGACCAACCTGACCAACATGGTGATATCCTGTCTTTAAAAAAAAATTTTTTTTTTTTTTTTTTTTTTGAGACGGAGTTTCGCTCTTGTTACCCAGGCTGGAGTGCAATGGCGCGATCTCGGCTCACCACAGCCTCCGCCTCCTGGGTTCAGGCAGTTCTCCTGCCTCAGCCTCCTGAGTAGCTGGGACTACAGGCACGCGCCACCATGCCCAGCTCATTTTTTGTAGTTTTAGTAGAGACGGGGTTTCACCATGTTGACTAGGATGGTCTTGATCTCTTGACCTCGTGATCCACCCACCTCGGCCTCCCAAAGTGCTGGGATTACCGGCTTGAGCCACTGCGCCCGGCCAAAAAAAAATTTTTTTAAAAACACATTTCCCTATTCTGTTTAACAGCTTTTCATCCACAAAAACAAGCGTGATCTGCATTTGTGCATGGAGCTCACTGTGACAGGCTGTCTTGTCATGCTGCTGCTATATTTCGTTCATTTTAACCGGAGACCTTTCTAAGCATTCAGTGATCAAGGTTTACAGTTACACAGTGATTAGTCTGCCAGGAGTTGTAAATCACACAACCCAAAGGCCCCAAAATGAGAGTTTCCTGGAAATTCCTTCCCAAATGGTATCCTTTGTAGTAGATGTAACCTGGAAACTGAGAGTCAAAAGTCTCTGACATGTGGCTAGAGTGACATTCACTTGTCAGCAATTAATGCAGCTCATCATTGTATCATATGGCCAAATCTCAGAGCAGTGCCACTCAGATTTGCAGGCTGCCATTTGACCTTGTCAGGTCCCAAAAGCAGGAGTCGTTTTGGCAAATGCGTGGCTTCCCCCTTTCAGGCATCTGGTATAATCACGCTGAGAGACAATCTTATTCTCTTGTTTCAAGTCTCTCCAGGCACCAGTGGGATACTGGATTTCCCTCATTGCATAGCCCATTTACTCATTCCTTTACTCTCAGCTACTATGTCTCTTCCTCACCATCTGTCATTGATTTTTTTTTTTTTTTTAAGATGGAGTCTCACTCCCTTGCCCAAGATGGAGTGCAATGGCGCGGTATCAGCTCACTGCAACCTCAGCCTCCTGGGTTCAAGCAATTCTCCTGCCTCAGCCTCCCAAGTAGCTAGGATTATAGGCACCCATCACACCAAGCCAATTTTTGTATTTTTACTAGAAACAGCTTTTTACTACGTTGGCCAGGTTGGTGTCTAACTCCTGACCTCAAGTGATCCACCTACTTCAGCCTCCCAAAGTGCTAGGATTACAGGCATGAGCCACTGTGCCAGGTCTTTTTTTTTTTTTTTTTTTTTTTTTTTAGAAAGAGTTTTGCTCTGTCTCCCAGGCTGGAGTAAAGTGGCATGATCTTGACTCATTGCAACCTCTGCCTTCTGGGTTCTCCTGCCTCAGCCTTCCAAGTAGCTGGGATCACAGGCTTGTGCCACCATGCCTGGCTAATTTTTGTAGTTTTAGTAGATGGGTTTCACCATATTAGCCAGGCTAGTCTTGAACTCCTGACCTCAAGTGATCCACCCGTCTCAGCTTCCCAAAGTTCTAGGATTACAGGTGTAAGCCACTGTGCCTGGCTAGAGCACACACTTTTGAAGGTGTGTAAGCCACCCCTTCATGCTTTTATCTCCCCAACTTTAGACAGCAAATGTTTCAACTATCTGTTCCAATTCTCTACCAAAGTGCTACTCTGAGGGTGTATGCAACACCATATGTGCATTTAATGTGGTACTGCTTGGCCCATTGTTGGATACTAGGAGCTGTCAATTGTATTCTTTGATCTGAGGAAATATAACTTGGTGGTCCACATTGGTACAGTATCTTCTGTTCTAATATAGCATCTTGCAGTATTTTGCACATTTGCATCTATAACAAAGCCACTTTAATGTGCCCCTTAAATTTCCATAGGGTAGGCTGGGAGTGGTGGCACATGCCTATAATCCCAAAACCTTGGGAGGCCAAGGTAGGTGGATCACGAGGTCAGGAGATTCAAGACCATCCCGGCTAACAAGGGGAAACCCCACCTCTACTAAAAAGACAAAAAATTAGCCAGGCGTGGTGGCAGGTGCCTGCAGTCCCAGCTACCCAGGAGACTGAGACAGGAATATCGCTTGAACCCGGCAGGTGGAGGTTGCAGTGAGACAAAATCATGCCACTGCACTCCAGCCCGGGTGACAAAGTGAGACTCTGTCTCAAAAAAAAAAAAAAGAAAAAATTTCCATAGGGTTATACCCCAGGTGGGCCACCCTTTAATAGTTCAGTTTTTCATAGCCCATCTGCCAGGCCATTGGCTACTGCCACGAGTCAGTAAAAACCCAAACACAGGGGCTTTTACCATTCAAGTCTTCTTTTTTTTTTTGAGACAGTCTCACTCTGTCACCCAGGCTGGAGTACAGTGGTGCAATCTCAGCTCACTGCAACCTCCATTTCCTGAGTTAAAGCGATTCTCATGCCTTCACTTCCTAAATAGCTGAGACTACAGGCACGTGCCACTATGCCCAGCTAACTTTTGTATTTTTAGTAGAGATGGGGTTTCACCATGTTGGCCAGGATGGTCTCGATCTCCTGACCTCATGATCCGCCCGCCTTGGCCTCCCAAATTGCTGGGATTACAGGCGTGAGCCACCACACCCAGACATCATTAGAGTCTTCTATTACTGCAAGGAAAACAGCATGTAATTCAGTCCACTGAGCTGATTTCTTCTTACCTTCTTCAAAGATTTTCTACCCTCAGTCAGAGTGCAAAGGCCTTTCAAATAAGATACTGTCTGTCCACCGTAAACAAGCAGCTTTTTCTTTTTTTTTTTTTTTTTGGGACGGAGTTTCGCTCTTGTTACCCAGGCTGGAGTGCAATGGCGCGATCTCGGCTCACCGCAACCTCCGCCTCCTGGGTTCAGGCAATTCTCCTGTCTCAGCCTCCTGAGTAGCTGGGATTACAGGCACGCGCCACCATGCCCAGCTAATTTTTTGTATTTTTAGTAGAGACGGGGTTTCACCGTGTTGACCAGGGTGGTCTTGATCTCTTGACCTCGTGATCCACCCGCCTCGGCCTCCCAAAGTGCTGGGATTACAGGCGTGAGCCACCGCGCCCGGCCACAAGCAGCTTTTTCTCGTTCAACCAAGAGCTGTTCATAGGGCTTCTCCTATGTGGCACCAGGATCCATCACCTCCTTGGTGTTTCCAAAGTTGGCCCTAGAGAGAAAGGGGCTTCCTGCTCATCAATACCATCAGCACCTCCTCGCATTCCCTGAGCAGCACGTTCCTGAATAAACCATTTCCATTTTATTCAGGAACTCTTCTGGGCACTGCCTTTGTCTCAGAGCGTTTCTCTGACATCACCCAAGACATTATGGGTATTTCAGGTTTCAGGATGATTTTGCGTCCTGCAGTCATGGAGGCAGTTTCAGGAAACACACAAGGGCCAGTTAGTCATTGTCTCTCAAATGGCCCATACCATACACTGCGCCTGGAGATGTCCTGACCCAGTCTCAACCGTCACCACTGAGTGCGCCTCACCTAAGAGGGCTGAACCTATGTTTTGATTCAGCAGTTTAGGAACACACTTCGTGTAGACTCTAGAAACGGACATTTCAGAACCTCCCAGGCTTCTGCCATAAGCCCTTCCAATCAAGTCTACACAGGGCCATGGTGCAGAGAATTGGCCGCAGCAGTATTCCAGCTTCTAACACGTCACTGATTAAAGTGTTAACTTCCCTTTGTCCACTTGCTATTCTACACCATCTCAAATTAGCAACCAGTGTGGGCTCAGGCAGTCGGACATGTACTTTACTGCACAAAGACCCTGTTTGTTCCCTCAGCCCTGTATGTCACTCCAACCCACAAACTCCTATCCACCCCGCCCCACACACACACAGAGCCCTTGTCCAGCTGCAGAACATGCCTTGACCAGACTGCCACAGACTCTAGCCTTCTCTTCTGTCCTAATGCTGCGGGGGTAGGGGGGGAGGTGACTTGACCTGCTCTTATCCCTATCTCTGCAGCGAGATTTACTGCCACGGGGAGCTCCTGCACCAAGTTCAAATGGCCAAGCTCTACCAGGATGACAAGCAGTTCGTGGACATGCCACTGTCTGTAGCTCCAGGTGAAGCACCTAGGGCTGAACCTCCTCTCCAAAGAAACTTCTCTCCAAAGAAGGCAGGGGGGCAAGACCAAGCAGAGAGGCCCCTGTGATCAGGGCTTGTGACACCTTGCTGACTCCTCCCTGCTGCCCGCTCTCCAGAACAAGTCCTGCAGACCTTCACTGAGCTGTCCAGGATCCACAATCACAGCATCCCCAGGGAGCAGCTGCAGGTGTTTGTCCAAGAACACTTCCGGGCCAAGGGGCAGGAGCTGCAGCCCTGGACCCCTGCAGACTGGAAAGACAGGTATGACTCTGGGCGTGGAACAAGAGAGGGTCCCTTCCAACCAAGCTGCCTCCCTGAACCCTGTGGGGCTTGTTTTTCCAGCCCGCAGTTTCTGCAGAAGATTTCAGATGGCAAACTTCGTGCCTGGGCAGGGCAGCTGCACCAGATCTGGAAGAAGCTGGGGAAGAAGGTATCAGTGTCCTGGGCCTGGCCAAGGGGGCTGGAGAGAGGAATGTGCTGGGGCCCACAGAGACTCCAGAGCACAGATCAGCTTTCCTTTCCTGAGCAACCAGTCCCTGGCCCCTCGGTCCTCAAATAGAAGCCCTCTAGAAAGAAATTCTGAGGGCTGAGCACCATGGCTCATGCTTGTAATCCCAGCACTTTGGGAGGCCGAGACGTGTGGATCACGAGGTCAAGAGATTGAGACCATCCTGGTCAACATGGTGAAACCCCGTCTCCACTAAAAATACAAAAATTAGCTGGGCATGGTGGCGCGTGCCTGTAGTCCCAGCTACTCGGGAGGCTGAGGCAGAATTGCCTGAACCCAGGAGACGGAGGCTGCGGTGAACCGAGATAGCACCATTGCACTCCAGCCTGGGTAACAAGAGTGAAACTCCGTCTCAAAAAAAAAAAAAACCAAAAAACAAAAAACAAAAATTAGCCAGATATGGTGACAGGCACCTGTAGTCCCAGCTACTCAGGAGGCTGAGGCAGGAGAATCGCTTGAACCTGGGAGGCGGAGATTGCAATGAGCCGAGATCACGCCATTGCACTCCATCCAGCCACAGAGCAAGATTCCATCTCAAAAAACAAACAAACAAACAAAAAACAAAACTTCTGAGGTCAGAAAGGCAGCATTTACTTCTAAAGCTCACCTCCTCCAGGAAGCCTCCCCAGCCTCCCCAGGAAACCCCAACCTGCCACCTCCAGGCTACCCAGCACTGCCTCTGGCACCAGCGAGTAGATATTCACTGCCTGCTGGGCTCTCTGCTTCCCTGAGCTCCTGGGCCAGGCCTCCATCTCAGGAGGAATCAGTGGTACTGATGCTCGAGGCCAGGCCCTGTGCTCAGGCCTATCCTGTTTGCTCCTCCACCACCCCTCACCTGGGGAAAGGGTTTGGGGTTTTATCCCCACCTGGCTCAGAGAATGGGGGTGATGGATCAATCCTCTGGGCCTGGCTTGGCGGTGGCAGCAAGGATGAGGAGCAGAGGGGAAACGGGGGGCTGGCACCCTCCTCATCCACCCAGCCTCCCCTGGGTCTTCATAATGACCACTGCTTGGTGGACACCTGCCTGGTGCCCCTGGCTGAATGGTTGGGGCTTCTACCCAGCACCAAATTGAGCCAGAATCCTGAGGCCAGCAGGTGAGAGATGAGGACCCCAAGGTTCCCAGCGGCCATGCCTTGATCATACGGCTGAGCAGCAGTGGAGCCAGAGCTGAGCCCGACTGCCTGGCTCCAAAGCCTGTGGCTCCCGGGGCCTCAGATCCCCCAGCCACCTGAATACCCTGCTTCCATGGGGATTCTAGGCTCCCCTTGCCTTCTCTCCTGACTCCAGATGAAGCCGGAGGTTCTCAGCCACCCTGAGCGGTTCTCTCTCATCTACTCAGACCATCCCTTCATTGTGCCTGGCGGTCGCTTTGTTGAGTTCTACTACTGGTGAGCGCCCAGTTCCGAGAGGCCAGGGGGCCTGCGGGACTGGCAGTGGTGGAGAAACCCAGGGCCAGCAGGGTGTTGAGCAGGGCAGGGTGCCCCACTGGCTGGTGTGCAGAGCAGAGGGAGGCAGTAGGGCGGAGCCTGAGCTGTCCTTTCCTCAGGGACTCCTACTGGGTCATGGAGGGTCTGCTCCTGTCGGAGATGGCTGAGACGGTGAAGGGCATGCTGCAGAACTTCCTGGATCTGGTGAAAACGTGAGAGGGGGCCGGGCACCTCCAGACGAGGCGGGGAGGAGAGGCAGGTATGCCATGAGCCTGGAGCTGGATTGCCTTGGTGCCAGTTGCTGGGCAGAGGGCATCTCAGCAGGCGTTCCCCTTGGCAGCTACGGGCATATCCCCAATGGCGGGCGCGTGTACTACCTGCAGCGGAGCCAGCCCCCACTCTTGACCCTCATGATGGATCGCTACCTGACTCACACCAATGACACCGCCTTCCTACAGTGGGTACCGCCCTCCCAGTGCTGCTCTGCAGACCCACCCACCCTTCGGACCTCTCAGGGCTGGGGATGGGCAGCGCGCCTGGGCTGACATGCTGCCCGCTTCACTCCAGGGAGAACATTGAGACGCTAGCCTTGGAATTGGACTTTTGGACCAAGAACAGGACTGTCTCTGTGAGCGTGGGAGGAAAAACCTACCTCCTGAATCGCTATTATGTCCCTTACGGTGGACCCAGGTGAGGAACTGCAACAGCCCACCCCTCGGTCTCTTACCTGCTCACTCTGGTTTGAGCATCACAATGCTCTGGGCCGGAGGAGAAGTGACTTAGCCTGGCCTCTCAGATGGTGACATCAAGAGCCCTCTGCAATCCCAGGCTGTGGGGCCCAAGGGCAGCTGGATCAAGGTGGCTCAGCCGCCTCTTGACCACAGAGGGGCTTAGCAGCTACCAGTGCCAGGCTGCCCACCTCCCCTCTTTGCCAGGCCGGAGTCCTACAGCAAAGATGCAGAGTTGGCCAACACCTTGCCGGAAGGTGAGTAGCGGCAGCGCAAGGGAGGGCTGGGGACAGGGCGGCTGCACGCCTGCTGTGTCAGGCTCTGGTCCCCTCTCAACAGCTGCCTCATCTTGCAGCTGGGACTGGCTGGGTTCCCTGCTCTGTCCTCACAGGAGACCGGGAGGCTCTGTGGGCTGAGCTGAAGGCTGGGGCTGAGTCTGGCTGGGACTTCTCTTCACGCTGGCTCATTGGAGGCCCAAACCCCAACTCGCTTAGCAGCATCCGAACCAGCAAATTTGTGCCCGTTGACCTGAATGCCTTCCTATGTCAAGCAGAAGAGCTGATGAGCAACTTTTACTCCAGGCTGGGTAAGCACCCCAGGAGGGAAGGGGAATCAGGGAGCTTGGTTGCCTGCTGCAGGCTTGACAACAGAACTGGAAGTAGGACAGACCTTCAGCAACCCAGCCTATCGAGCCCTGCCCTAGTGGAAGCCTGCACTCACATTTGTGTACCTGACAAGAGGACGAATGGAGCCCACCCCAATCTCCCTCTTCCTCCCTTTCTTTTTGCCTTTTTTTTTTTTTTTTTTGAGATGGAGTTTCACTCTTGTTGCCTAGGCTGGAGGGCAATGGCACAATCTCAGCTCACCGCAACCTCCACCTCCCAGGTTCAAGCGATTCTCCTGCTTAGCCTCCCAAGTAGCTGGGATTACAGGCATGTGCCACCACACCCGGCCAATTTTTGTTATTTTTAGTAGAGACGGGGTTTCGCCACGTTGGTCAGGCTGGTCTCAAACTTCTGACCTCAAGATCCGCCTGCCTCGGCCTCCCAAGTGCTGGAATTACAGGCCTGAGTCACCGCACCCGGCTCCCCTCCCTTTCTTACTGTGAGACTCTCTAGGGTCTGTGAGTGGAACCCTAGTCCACATATCCAAAATCCTTCCCTCCCTCTCCCTCAGACAGCTGCCCTTGACCCCCTGAGAGCTAGGGGAATCCACACAGCCAGTGCACTTGGGAGGATAGACCCTGGGGACTATCAGCTCCAGTTGTTCCCTGGGAGCAGGGCGGGGCTGTGTGCTCAGGAAATTCCAGGACCTAGACGCCTGAAATGTGCTGGGCTCCAAGTGGGCACATCCCCTCGGTCATCAGGGTGTCTCAGCTCTTGCAGAGAAACACAAAGGGAGGAGGCCAAGCTAGAGCCATGAAAGACCTGGGGCCGGCAGGCAGGGCCCTGGCTGCTAGGACTAAAGGCAGCACTGCCCCAGGGAACGAATCCCAGGCCATGAAGTACAGAACCCTGCGGGCGCAACGCTTGGCCGCCCTGAACGCGGTCCTGTGGGATGAGGAGGCGGGTGCCTGGTTCGACTACGACCTTGAGAACAAGAAGAAGAATGGGGAGTTTTACCCATCCAACCTCACTCCACTCTGGGCCGGGTGTTTCTCTGACCCTGGAATGGCGGACAAGGCTCTGAAATACCTGGAGGTGAGGGCACAGCAGGTGGCTCTGACCCACTGCAGGCAGCACCGCCCCCTCCCGACCCTGAGCCGGACCTGCAGGGGAGGCCGCTCTGGTCATGCCCGTTGTCCCAGCCTGCGGGTCCCGCTGAAGCCACCAGGGGGCAGCTGTGAGCCAAGAGAAGGGCCAGGAAGGGGACATCTGGCTTCCTGCGGCGCCCAGCATCCTGGCTCCCAGTCCAGCCCCACCCACAGTCATGGGAATGTCTGGAATTTTCTAGGACAGCCAGATCCTGACTTACCAGTATGGGATCCCGACCTCTCTCCAGAAGACAGGCCAGCAGTGGGACTTCCCCAATGCCTGGGCGCCCCTGCAGGACCTGGTCATCAGAGGTAGGGAGGCAGGGCTGGGCATAGCCCAGGGCCCTCCCCAGGGTGTAGAGGTGGGCCTCCCAGGTGCTGGGGAGGCATGAAAAAAAGACACAGCCCCCTTGTCCTCTCTCTTGCTCCTCTGCTCTTCTGGTCTCCACTTGGCAAACATTTATGTCCACCCAACCTGTTCAGTGCAATCAGTCCTGTTCACCCTTCAAACTAGGACCCTCAATTAAGGGCAGTTTGGACCATGGTCTCATGAAGGAGGTCTTAGGGCCAGGCCTCTTTCCCTCCTTGGAGAGAGTAGAGTGCAGCCTGGGCTGTGTCTGGGATGGGGAATTGGAGATTGAGTCCTGCCTGCGATGGGGTCTAGGCCTGGCCAAGGCAGCTTTACCTCGGGCCCAGGAGGTGGCTTTCCAGCTGGCTCAGAATTGGATCCGAACCAACTTTGATGTCTACTCACGAAAGTCAGCCATGTATGAGAAGGTGAGCTGGTCCAAGCCCTCCCTGTGCCCCACAGGGCGTCCCAGTGCTGAGGCTAGAGGGTCAGCCTTGGCAGGGCCCAGGGCCAGCACAGCTGGGACAGTGGCGGCGCCCAGTGGCCACTCCTGGGCACTGCAGGGGCTGCTAGGCAGACAGAGCAGCCCCAGGAGCTCTGGTTGTTTGTTGTCCCTGGGGTTGGGTGGTGGGGACAGTGTATGACCTACAGACCACTCTCGTCCCCAGTATGACATCAGCAACGGTGGACAGCCCGGTGGGGGAGGAGAGTATGAAGTTCAGGTGAGCAGGCCTGGGGTGGGCTGGCCAACATCCTACAGGGAACTCCTGGGCTCTGCTGCCCACGCCCCCGGCCCCACGCCCCAATGTGCTCACCTGCACGTGGGCCAGGGGAGGAGCTGACTGGTGCTCCCTGGTGCCACTGGGGCTAGGCAGGGCCAGTGTCCCTGGGGAGAGAGCCCACAGCCCCCAAGGGTTTGGGGCTTTCTCAGAGACTTGGCCCCACTGCCCTGCCTTTCCCAGGAGGGCTTTGGCTGGACCAATGGCGTGGTCCTGATGCTGCTGGACCGCTACGGTGACCGGCTGACCTCAGGGGCCCAGCTGGCTTTCCTGGAGCCCCACTGCCTGGCAGCCGCCCTTTTGCCCAGCCTCCTGCTCAGCCTCCTGCCACGGTGACAGCCCTCCTCACCTGACCCCATGTCCTGCCCCATTAAACCTCTGCACCAGTTCCTGCCTTTTCCTGCCTCCTCATGCCCTCCTGCCTCCCAGCCTGTCCCCCGATCAGAGTGAGGTGGGGTGCAGGGTCATGACTTGGAGGTCATGGGTTGGGGCCTAGCTCCCTCCTGGAACCTTGAATAGGGTGGCAATTCTGCTCTGGGGGAAGACCTAGCCCTCTTGCCCCAGGTGCCCTAGTGCCATTCACCACACCTCCCGCCTTCCACATATTTCTGTAGTCCAAAGGCTTTATTGTTCTGCTGAAATGCTTACAAATACTGAAAACCCCCAGCCTGGGCCCAGGCAACCAAGGGCTCAGTGCTGGGAAGGAGAGCAGGGGAAGTGGGCTTAGTGTTAAGGCGTGAAGGGCGAGGCCAGACAGCTGGAGGCCTGGTCCTCCACTCTCCATTTCCATCACCCTCGAGAGGCTGAAGGAAGGGCGGCGGCACCACAGGGCCCTTCCCCTCTGCTGCGTCCTCTCCTGCTCAGGCTTTCCCTCTAGGAGCATCAGAGCAACCCTCTTTCCCTGTCAGAAACTCAACCCTGTACAGAATTCCAACCATAACCCTTCCAGCTTCCTCTCGCAACTGCATCGCTCCTCCTCTGTTCCCTAGATCCCCCGGCTTCATCCCTTCTGGCTCTAAGCAAGGCACCAGTGGAAGGGAGAGGGCTGGACTGGGGGACTGGCAGGCTGTGCATCAGGGCTGAAGACACAGGCAGGGGGCAGGGAGCAGGTATTTGGTCCCTTCCCCCAGCATGAGATGCCCAGGGGCCTGGGCTGGAGAGATGATGGCATGTACCTTCAGAGGGCCCACAGCTGAAGCAGTGGGCTGGGCCACAGAGCGGCAGCAATTAGTATGTAACCATGGCAATGAAGCAGTTGCTATGGTAACCATGGTGATGGGTCTGCAACTAGGGGATGGAGCTGGGACCTCAAGGATGATACTTGAGATCTCTGGCCCTTGAGCAAGGTAATAAAAAGTATCAGGGAAGGGAGAACAATGGGGCAGAGCGGGGTTTGAGAAGTGGGAAGTGGGCCGCCTGAGCTATCACCCCACTCTGGATGTGGCTCTGCTCAGCCCCCAAGGCCCCTGGCAAAGGGGTCTGAGGCAGGAGGGGATCTTTGGCAGCTTATGGTACCATAATTTGTCTTTTAGAAAAGAGAAAACAGGCTGGGGAGAGGTGTCAGGTCAGAGCTGAAGCCCTCTCTGTGACAGCTCCTCAGCCCTGGCTGGGCCCAGGGTAGGACCCTGAAGGGTTACTGCAAGTTCTGGGCTCTGAGGAGGCAGTGGCCACCTCCACTTTTCTTCTTCTGGCTGGTTCTTCAGGAGGCCAGAGCCTAGAAACTCACAGGACCAAGCTCCTTATAGAATATTGAAGTCTTCTTGTATAAAAGCCCCAGTTGTGCTCTGCCAGTAGGCCCACGGCAGTTAGTTCATGAACTGAGTGTAGCCCTCAGCCCCTGTGACGATGACATCCATCCAGATGCGCATGGCCTCTGCAGACGGGGCCACCATGTAGTACAGCCGGTCATGGGTCTTCACGCAGAAGGTGAGGGCTGGGTTTGGGCTCTGCCAAGGGAAGAGAGGAAGGTCTAAGATGGGGCTCACCCATGCCCAGGAATATTCTCACCTGCCTCCCTATCGGCCCTTTCCCTTCCCAGCCCCCAGAAAGCCCTGGAGCTTCAGGCTGAGTCCTAAATAGGCCCAGAGCCTAGCCCCACCAGTCAATTTGAGCCAGGCTGAAATGTTCCCTTCTCACACCACAGCAGTCCTGGGCTCTCTAAGCTCCCTGGACCCTGACGGAGCTATACCCTGATAAGGGGGGTACTGGTCCTTGGCACCCCCAGGTTCAGAAGTGAATATCAAGAGGATCAGATACAAAGGGCCGTTCCAGTGAAGACCAGAGTTTCCTCTCAGCAAAACAGGGGCAGAGAGAAAGAGCTACAAGCGGGATGCTAGGCCCCGAGACCCCAGAGGAGCAGAGATCAGGGCTGGGGTGGGCACCAGAGGGTTGGTGGGAGGGAGGCTGACTTGCATTAGGGAAGTGGGCCCCAGCCTCAAATATCTCCTGTTTGTCAATTTCTCCCTATCAAATCTAGTCTGTGAGGGTCCCCTCCACCCCTTCCGGCCATCCCTTCAGCATCGCCAGCCCCCCATGGGGAGACATCCTGCTGTCATTTCGGGGAGAGGGAGACAAGGAGAGGGAGGCACCCAAGCCCACAGGAGCTTCTTGCTCTTTGCAACCTGCTTTCTGCTCCTCCCTTGGGCCTGGGGGAGGGACGGAGATGAAGGGGGGAGTCAAGGGTCAGGGATGAGTGGGATACAGGAGGCGTTAATGTGCTGGTTACAGCTAAGTGGGGAGGGGTACCTCAGTCACCATAGTGAAGCGGAAAAACCTCTTCTGGGAAGGGGAGAAGGAGAAAGGAAGAGAAAGTTGACAAAGAGAACAAGGACTGGGTTGGAGCCTCTGTAGAGCCCCGTCCCCATGGCTGTCCCTCTGGCCCCCTCTGCTGCCCTCCACTCCTGACCTTGGCTGCACTGCGCAGGTGGTCATAGTACACTTCCTCAATGGCCTGGAAATAGATGACTCCCTTCAGCTTCGTCTCATGCTTGTCTGCAAAGGAAGTAAGGGTGGGCTATGAAGCTGGTCACACTTCAGGTCTAGCTCTGTTTATGTGGAGCTCCAAGGCCTGAGCTTCCAAATCTGGGAAATGGGGTGAAGATCCTAGTCTCCCAGGACCCCCAAACAGAACCCAATACAGAACCCTAAAGATATGGATAATGCTCAGCCTCATTCATAATCACAGATAAATACAAATCAGAACTCCACTGAGATGCTGCTTCTCACCTACCCAATGACAAAAACCTGCAATGAATATACACCACACTTTTGGCAAGTCTATGGCGAAGTAGGCAGTCTAACAACACGTGGGAGTATAAATTGGTAAAACCTTTATGAACAATTTGGCCATGTCTATCAAAATTAGATAGACAGTTGTCTTTTGATCCAATGCTTACATTTAGGGGAATTTCTCTTTCACATACACAAAGCAACACACACAAGATTATTAAGCACAGTATTGTCTATAGTCACAGAAGATTGGAAACCAAAATATCCATCAAGTGGAAACTGGTTAATAAGTTAGTATGTGCCACCTCATGGAAGGCTAAATACAGCTGTTCAGTAGAATGATAAAGAAATATCTGGCCGGGCGCGGTGGCTCAAGCCTGTAATCCCAGCACTTTGGGAGGCCGAGGCGGGTGGATCACGAGGTCAAGAGATCGAGACCATCCTGGTCAACATAGTGAAACCCCGTCTCTACTAAAAATACAAAAAATTAGCTGGGCATGGTGGTGCGTGCCTGTAATCTCAGCTACTCAGGAGGCTGAGGCAGGAGAATTGCCTGAACCCAGGAGGCGGAGGTTGCAGTGAGCCGAGATCACGCCATTGCACTCCAGCCTGGGTAACGTGAGTGAAACTCCGTCTCAAAAAAAAAAAAAAAAAAGAAATATCTGAAATAGGCCAGGTGCAGTGGCTCACGCCTGTAATCCCAGCACTTTGGGAGGCCAAGGCAGGCAGATCACGTGAGGTCAAGAGTTCGAGACCAGCTGGCCAACATGGTGAAACCCTGTCTCTACTCAAAATATAAAAATTAGCCAAGTATGGTGGCATACTCCTGTAATCCCAGCTATTTGGGAGGCTGAGGCAGGAGAATCACTTGAACCTGGGAGGTCGAGGTTGCAGTGAGCCAAGATCATACCACTGCACTCCAGTCTGGGCAAAAGCAAAACTGTGTCTCAAAAAAAAAAAAAAAAAAAAAAAAAAGAAAGAAAAAGAAATGTCTGATCCAGATACAGACTCAGAAATAGACCTGTAATATATGCCCAGATATAACGTCTAGATATAGATAAATTTGATATAGAATGATCTCTAAGACACATTAGGTGGTAAATAAGGAATGTACTGTATGCCACCTTTTGTGCAAGAAAAAGGGTTTGTATATGCTTATATTCGCCTACAGAAACTCTAGAAGGATACACAAGAGATTAATATAAGTAGTTACCTGTAGTGGTTGGGGAAATAATTCTCAATTTTTTAACATATTTTTTATTTTTGAACCATATGGATATTTTTACCTATTTTTTTTTAAAGGAAGCACACTCCTTCGATGTGTACAGAGCATTTAGCATATACATATAGTATATAGCCTCTGGAGGTGAGAGGTGGCAGGAAAGGGGCAGACTACCTGAGCCAAGGTGACCATTCAGTGAGGGGCAGGATCCCTGTCAAGGGAGAGCACAGGGCCTGGGCCACCTTGTTTGTGGCACTGCTCAGGTGCTACAACTGACAACCTTAACAGTGAGACTGAGTCCTACAGGAGAGGTCACACCAGTCACTAAACTCAGTGGTGCCCGCTGGAAGTAAGCTCCTCCCTGAGATCTCCTCCTCTCCCCCACCTCCGTGGCTTGGTAAAGGCAACTTACGGACTGGTGCCAACATGCCCCTCCAGCCTTGTATGGCAACCTTCCCCAGCATGAGCCCCAAGTCCTATCTGAGCTTCTCACTATTCCCTTAATAATACAATCTGTATGCTGGAACTGCCTCCTCCAGCCCATTTCCTTGGCAAACTCCTAAATGATCTTTAAGACCTACTGCAAATGTCACCATGACAGTGCACAGTCGTGCTCTCCTGTGTTCCCACAGCACGGATGGTCCTCTGCAGAGAACTTAGGCTGAATCTGAATCCTCCTTTTTCCATTCATAGGTCTACCTCCCCCAACACCAACAACTATGTACCTGGCACACAGTAGGTACTCAATGCTGAACAAATGAGCCCTTGACACTGGGATTCAGAGAGAAGTCAGACACCCTTCTCTTAGGAAACTACGGTCTCATAGGGAAGAAAGTGCAGACACACAGCTGTGTAAATAGCTAGTAAAGGAGTGGCTAGGGACTGCATGACACCACCTACACATCACAGGTTGCCATGAGTGTTAAATGAGAGAACACAT